GGGTTGGAAAAGGTGGGGGAGGGGGTTACGAGATGGTGAACGGGGAGCCTGTGAGGATGAAGGTCCCAAAGAAGGGGTGAGAAAGTATACAAAGTCAGTGGAGGTTCATGGCATGGTTTGCAGATGGCAAGGGAGGAGGCCTGGAGAAGGGGCGGGAAGAGGTTTTAAGCAGTGGAAGGGGACGTTTAGCGCACCAGAGGCAGAAATTTTGGGAATGGGGCTCAAAAGAGCAGTAAGGGGAAGGCGAGAGAGGGAATGTTGAAAACGCAAGTGAGGGCAGAAAACAACCAAAGGACATTGAAGACAAGGTGGGAAGGAGTGAACGAGTGATCAGCTGTCAGATATGTGTGGATCACATGAGATGGTTATGATCTGTTAAGTAATGCATATGAAAATTTCCTGCAGTCTACACAAGCAGGTTAGCATCCTCATAGATACTCATCGTACCATGGCCAAACACAGGTTGGAAACATTAAGGCCTCGTCATAGATGATGACGTATCACAAAGATATTTATCGTTGTGACAAACAGATTTGCATCCTTGTGACACAGTTTCTGAACATGTGCATTGAACGTCGTCGCAAAGATTGTCAAAAACGGAGACATCGACTTCACAATCGGTGGAGGCGTTCGCAAGAACGTAAGAGCATATCCAACAATTAGGGATTTTCGGACTAAGCTCATAAATTTTCTACAAGCAAGGAGGAGAAGAACAAAAGTGTTCGTGGAGGACTTGGTGAATGTTGCCTATACATACCTGTGGCTTTATTGTGCGTGCATATTTGATGTATCGCTGGAGTTGGGCTGTCGTGAACTCAGGGATGTCATCCATCTGCCCTTTCTTCTGATGAACAGACACAATATGCCTTGCGACATGATAGTCTCTGACCTCATCAGCATCGTCGATCATAACATGGACAAGATCAAATCTTGATAAAATGGGCGCCGGAAGGTTCACATTATACTGCACAAAACAAGTAGCCAGGAAAACACAAATATCCACACCATTTCATGCAAAGGTTGTTGATATGTGAAAAGTATCGCAGAGGAAACATGGCTTCCTAGTATTTCTCTGACCATCCCTGACACACTCACCCAAGCCAAACCATCACATAAACCAGGGCCTCAGTGAGAGAGGGCAAGGGTGCCAAAAATAGTCGCAAGAGACTTACGGGATACCTTAAACCAGTTGTGGAGGTGGATGTGATGGTCAGCATTCAGCACCCCTCCTCCCAGTCACGTCCGTTCCTTACTGTCCTAAGTCAGACTGACTCAGACAGTCTCCCTTCACCAATCCTTCAGGGCATTTCCATAGTTGTTTAAGTTGCCAATCATCACATTGATCACAACCATCACAAACCGGTAAGGCAAAGGGTATAGCTATACTTTGATGGAGATAAGGAAAAGGTGAGAAACCTCCCAAACATAACAAAAACAGTAAGGGTGTGATGGACGAAGACAGGGGGAGTGATGGGTATACAGGATCGTGACACCTCACGAAACCGCACGATCTTAACGATCTCGCAGAATGATGACGTTCACAGTACAGGATTGAGTTCCCTCTGACCATGAGATTAAGTGGACTGGCACACGATGGTTGACCATGGTCAAAGATCATGAAACCTTACAACCATTTGGCTGTAATGGCCTTCGTGGAGATAATCGCGGCAGGCCACAATCATATGCCCATGACCATTGCATAGCGCTGAGGAGCAGGTTACAAGAGCAGCACCCTATGGATGAAGGGATTGTTAGTCACTGAGTCATGAGCTGCTTGAGTGGATTGTAGTCGGTCCACTGAACAGATAATTGAGGAGAACATGAGCTGCAGGAAAGAAGCTACTGAAGCTAATGCGGCAGCCTTAGACATGTGGGGGATGGGATGGGTGGATCCGTAAGTCCAAGGAATGCATTACTTATTGAACCACAAGTAACCTTACCATCATCACCACCTCTGACTACACATCAAGGCAAGGTAGCCAAGAAAAGTGGACGGTCGAAAACACCTACCATTTGCACAACGTTTTCCACGTGTTGTGGGAGGAAAACAGAGGGAGGTGGGATGCAGGAGGGGGGGGAGGGGGCAGGACGGGAGGAAAGGGAAGGGCAAGTGGCAGACTGAAAACAACGAGCGTGTGCACAACATTTTCAACATGATGTGGCGAGGGAAAGAGGGGGTGGGGGGGAAGAGAAGGGGAGAGGTGGAAGGATGTGGGTATGCTACTTCCAAGCAGTGTTGTCACGCAGAGAACCTCGGGGGGTAAGCGGGGGTCCACAAACGACCCCTGGACCCCTGCGTGGAGATCCCCGGGCCCTGGACCCCGGGGGTCCAGAAGTCCCCAGGGGTGCAAACGTCTGCATTTTCCTTTTACTTCCCCACACTTCCCATAAGGAATAATGTGGGGAACCTTTTTCTCTCTACAAAATGGACGCTCTGGGGGGCTGGAAAAAAATCAAAAATTTGACCCCTGGACCCCTAGGCCCCTGGAACCCCGGATGGAGCTCTGCGCCCACCCCCGACCCACAGCGCTCACACCCCACCGCGCCCACCCCGGGACCCACTTCCAATCCATACGTCTGTGCGCCCACCCCGGGACCCACTTCCATTCCATAGGGGTGCGCACCGTCACTGTGATTTTTATATTTTTTTTTTGCGGTTCCCGACCCAGGGTTGGGGGTGCCCACCCCCGGAACCCCGGATCCCTGCCTGCTTCAAAGCACTACATCCCTTCAAAGTTCTGCCATAGCAGTTCAATTTCGTCACTCACTTGCAAGGGGTCCTGCAACCCAGGAGAAGAATTACCAGTAACCGGTCCACAGCACAGGGATGACACCATATCCAAAATAAGGCACGGGGAGCGAAGCACTCTCGCAAAAGGAAGGCCTCCATAACAACTACAGTCTATTGTTTGGCAAAAGAAAAGGCCTGAATTCACAGTCTGGGGATCCACGTTGCGAAACATGCGGCAGAAGAAGAAGGCAGGTTGTGCCACAAATGTGGTTGCTTGTACCATTCACTATTGAGGAGCAGAAGAGCATTGTCATCCGTAGTTAGAGGGGGGTTGTTAATTGAGAGAATTACCAGCAATAAGAGAGCTCCGCCACACACTGCTGATGTTATTTCCAGCAACAAGGTATGGGAATACCTTTGGCGATGATTCCTGCTGAAATATAACAGTACTGGAGAGAGGCCCTCCCCTCCTCCAAATTTCCTTCATTGCCAACGGTTGGTCTAATGCCACGAATCTCACTTATAAGTGGGAACGGGGAAAGAACTTTGTCATTCATCCTGGTCAGGGAGGGCCATTGCACTTATTGCAAACTCACCTTCAGTGGCTTTGATTTGTCATAACGTCCACCGGTTGGATTGGCTGCAGCCAATACAGATGTCCTTGCATTTAGAGATGCTTGAATACCAGCCTTTGCAATACTTATCGTCTGCTGCTCCATAGCTTCATGGATCGCCACCTGGAAACAGGAAATTGCAGAAGAAATCGTCAGAAAAGATTGCGATTCTCGAAGATAAAATACATGGTTCCTACCCGCACTTTGTTGCCAAAATGAAAATAAATGTGTTTGCCACTGTTCTTCAGCTTCTCCATCTACTTACTGTGTGCCCATTGCTATCATCGTCATCTCCCTCTGCCCTCCGCCCCCTGTCCTTCTTCTGCTCCTCTTAGCTCCTCTTCCATTCTTCCCTTTATTGTGTTCCTCACGTTCCTGCCTTACTTCATCATCCCCTTCTTCCTCACCAAATCGTCATCACCATCGTTGTCTCAGGCGCATGATCACAAAATGTGCCGGAATAACTAAAAACAAAATGTAGCGCTTCTCAGCACCACACTTCGTCTTCGCAATGTAGTAGTATGAACCACACACCCAAGCTGCCAGCAGTGCCCAGAATTGAAACAAACTTGGCACATTTTGTGAAACTCCAGTTCTTCATTCAGTCTCTTCCTTGTTTCACTCTTCGAAAATTCAAACTGCTTTTGTATGTTCCAATTTCCAATTTGTCTATACTGAGCACTACACACAATCTCAAATTCCCGAATTTCGTTTCATTCAGGCAGTCGGAACTATCAGCCCAGGTTTGAGCTGTATGGAAGGTTGGTGCAGGGATTTGATCCCAGTCGGGTTTGTACACAGCCCAGGTTCGAGCTGTATGGAAGGTTGGTGCTGGGATTTGAACCCAGGCCCTGCTGAACTAGCAACTTACTGCTTTCAATAGTTTTGTAATGAACCCCGTCTCGTTGAGAAGCCAGTCAATAATGCAATAGAAGTCTGAACCCACTGTAGCTCATGAAGTCTCCAACATCAATTACAGGTCCATGTCTCCATCATTTGCACAGCTCGAGAGTGTCGTCTCATCAGAGAAGAGCATGAGAGGAGAAGGAGAGGACAGGACAGACAGAGAGGAGGAGGAAGAGAGTCTCAATGATAATCAGCAGTGCATGTATGTCTCTCTCTCTCCCACTCCCACTTCGGTCTTCTCCCCTACTGCCTCCTCAGCAATNATGTATGTCTCTCTCTCTCCCACTCCCACTTCGGTCTTCTCCCCTACTGCCTCCTCAGCAATGTATGTACCCTCTGACGTCCTCCGACATAATCAACGTGCAGATCATAGCTGGGCGCCCATCCTCCCTCCACGTCAGCAATCACATATGGAGGATGGCAGAGCACTTCCTCACGTTCGTGGAGACAGCAGCAGATGACATGTGTCGTTGCCACGTAAGTCCAGGTAAGCTTCCCTACATCTCCCATAAGTCTCACAGCCCTGATCCTCCTCCTCGCCAATCCTCACCACCTAGTCTACCTCTATCCAGCTATGGCCGCGCAAACATAATCTCCCTCTAGGCAGGTGCCCACTTTCAAGATCTGGCGCCAGCACCCAGCATCAGCATCAAGCCAGCTTAAGGCAGAATGCCTTCCCCAGTGTCTGGCTGCTTTTTTGTAGCGCTGACCAGTGTTGACTGGCGTGGACCAGTCTTCTCTTTGACTGGCGGTACCTTTTCCCGGTCGGGACTGGAATCTTTCAGATACCTGCAGACAACCAATGATGTGCATCTGAAAGATGGCCATGGCTGACTAGCGGGTAGACTTTGACATTGGGCCTGGAATCCCGTGCTGGGGTCGACTCTTGATTTTCCAAGAGTCTAACTGTCTCAGGTTGGGGTACTGGACACAGCTTCTGACTCAGACCTTGGTAAGTTGGTACCCCTTGACCTTAGGCACTTTCTCAGACATTTCTCAGACTTGGGACGAGACTTTTGACCCCTGTTTCTGGCCTTCGACCAAAATTGACGACCCTTGATCACTTATGTGCGGATTTGAACTGAGTTTACTACAGTTTAGCAGAGTCAGGTTTTGAACCCCAGGCCATAGAGCTGTTGTAGTACTACAGATGGCAACTTGGTCCTTGATCAGTAGTCGGCTTTTTTTTTTCCCAAATCTTAGTTGGAAAGGTAGGAACCGACTGGTATGTAACCAAATCATCCCGACACTAGGGGAAAAAAAGCAAGCCCAATTCTCACTTTGGCACTTGGTTTTTGACACAACTGGGGAAGCATTTCCAACGATCGGCTCAGATTCACACTTCCACACACATGCACAATGAAAAGTCACAAGAAGATTCATGCCGGGACCCAATATGGGAACACCAGATTAGCGCAGCTTAGGAAACTCGATGAATGATCATATTGTACAAATTCAGAGTTCAGGTATCATGTGCCCATCAGCGCTGCAACCAGCAGCCTCAATCAGGTATGTAATCAAGTACATTTCTCATGTGACTCCCTCTCTCTCTCTCTCTCTCTCTCTCTCTCTCTCTCTC